AAATAAACTTTAAAAAATTTTTAAATAATAAATAAATAAATAAAAGCAATTTCCAGCATTTTCCTCCCTCCATTGCTTTTCACCAAACTACAGGCAAACGTGAAAATTAATCCACTGAAGCATCACGAACAGCTGCTACCCATCTTCATGCAGGGCATTTAAATTTAGTCTTAAATTTTGTAACATGGAAAACACAACCAACAGCCCCTGTGAACGAGAATTATTTCCGTGAGTTTTCTTTTCCAGCATCTGAAACCGATGACTAAAGTCCCAGTCACCAGCTTGAGTGTGTCACAAACATGCTTCTTTCCCCCATGACCTTTTCCCACCACTGACTGCATTTTCAAAAGTAGCCTGAGGCCAGAGAACAGCTGTTTGCTGGTTCCCTCAAGAGCAAGTAGCAAATGGCACATCATCGTTGGCTTGTGCTTTTTGCTTCTTTGAGGAACGCACTTGAACATGCCAAATGGAAGGGAGGAATCATAGAATGGATAATAGGATGTTAAAATTGGAAGTCGCTACTAGTCACTAAGATATACCAGATGTGAGTCAAAAGTAAAGTATAGATTAAAAAAAGAAGAGAGCGCCTGCATTATCACTCCTTGCACTGGATCGTTCCAGTGCCAACTCGTTTCCACTGGGTACTACATTTCCCAGAATCACCTTTACAGAATGTTCCAGATTTGAGTCTATCAGGTGTAATTTTTGTGGGATTTGGGAGGCAGAAGTGAGGCAGTGGCTCTTCCCCTCTGGTGGTTGCTGTGAATTAAAGGAGGTAAGAGAAATGCAGAGGTGCCCGTTCGCTTTCACTACTCCCCCCACCCCCAGTGCATCCACGCTCCTTCCCAGCTGCTGACCCGCCAACCAGCAGTGACCCCAGGCCACCGCAGACACTTTGCCGTGAACCCCAAGGGAGCAGCCATGATGAGTGGACAACCTTGCACAGCCTGGTGCCTGCCCCTTGGCAGTCCTACCCCAGCAGCTGGAAGACGGGCTTCTAGCTGTCCCTGAGAGCTCTGAGGATTCGCCTCTGCCCACACTGCTGTGCGACCTTTCTCCAACCTTCCTTTTCTTTTCTCACCCTCGTTTCCCCAGTGCCTCTCACAGTTGTATGGTCTCGTTGCTAGAACATACTCCTTATTCATAATGCTTGAAAGGATTCTGCCTCCCCAGTTGGACCTGGACTGATGTACTCCTGGACCCCTGAGCCAGATCAAGGATAAGGAGTGTGAAGAAAAGAGAATTATCAGGAAATTTCCCTGAGTGAACATCAGTCAGTAGAGCATGTGACTCTTGATCTCAGGGCTGTGAGTTCAAGTCCCACATTGGGTGTGGAGCCCACTTAAAGAAAATTTAAAAGTTTCCTTGAGAGATGCAACTGTGCCATGTCTGTCTCCACCTCCCCCTATACCTCAAGTCTCGTGATGGGCCACCATGGGCCCCCTCAGAGAGCTTTGGTATATGCTCCCTGTGGCTAGATACAATGGCTGCCACCTAACTTGTGCCTCAGAAAGACAGAACCATTCAGAGACCCAAGGTGGCTGCCCTGGGTTCCTCTCAAGTTTGGAGATGGGTAGGGTGGGTATCAGGATTGTCCCGGGTCCTGACCGACAGGCTAGTGAGAGGGGCTGAGCAAATTCAACAGCAAGAAGCAGGAAGTAGATTCAAGACTCCTGTGGAGCAAATACCACCAGCAACCGAGGGAATGGAGATGCAGGTACCAGACCAAGGGATCTGCAGGAGAACTCAGTGATGAGAAACTTGAAGGCACCCCGGAATCACTTCACTGAAAAAGCGATGTTCAATACCTACTAATCCAGAGAGCATGAGGTCAGGGTCTGGCCCTGGTCAACACCTCATTTGTTATTCCTTCCTCTCTGACCCTGAAGGGGTCACAAATTGCCTAGCAAGCTGAAATGGGAGGGGACAGGAAAGGGGCAAATATTTGTCATAAAATTAAATTTAGAGGCACCTGGGTGGTTTAGTCTCCAACTCTTGATTTTGGCTCAGGTCATGATCTCATACTTCGTGGGTTCAAGTCCCACATCAGGCTTTGTGCTAACAGCACAGAGCCTGCTTGGGTTTCGCTCTCTCCCTTTCTCTCTGCCCCTCCCTTACTCACTCACTCTGTCAAAATAAATAAGCATTTAAAATTAAATAAATAAAATTAAGTTCAGAGTTTTTTGGTAATCTCTTGAGTGGACATAATTGCATTGAGATCATGTTTTGTGACTCACAGTGACTACGTAAGTGAGAGTGAGCTGGAAATTACGGGCCTGCTGTGGTTTTTACCTAGGAGTGGAAGAGTATTTCTGTTTCATTTACTTTAAGGTGGGAAAGAAAAATGGAGTTTCAGTTACTCACACCCAGAGGCTGGGTACTGTGGATGCCAGTTACAAACGTTGAGGCAGGGGTGCCTGGGTGGCTCAGTTGGTTAAGCGTCTGAATTCAGCTCAGGTCATGATACCCCAGTTCGTGGATATGAGCCCCACAACAGGCTCTGGGCTGACAGTTCAGAGCCTGGAGCCTGCTTTGAATTCTGTGTCTCTCTCTCTGCCCCTCCCCCACTCACGCTCTAACTCTCCCTGTCTCAAAAATAAGCATTTAAAAACCAAAAACAGATGTCGAGGCAGGGTCCAGGCCCTATGGGGCTCACTCTGTGCTCGTGGAGCGCTGCATTCCTCTAGTGAAGCCTCAGGACATGAGGGGGCACAGGGAAGCCTGAAAGTGTGGGATATGGAGGGCTGTCCCATCTTCAAACAAGAGTTTTTATACCTTTTTATACAGGATTTCCAAATAGGTTTTCATTTGAAGGCGGGATAGAATTCCACCACTTTAAAAAAGATCTTGAGGGGTGCCTGGGTGACTCAGTCAGCTGCGCATCCCACTCTTGATTTCAGCGCAGGTCATGAGCCCATGATCATGGGATCAAGCCCCACTTGAGGCTCTGCGTGGAGCTTGGAACCTGCTTGGGACTCTCTCTCTTCCTCTCTGGCCCTCTCCCCTGCTTTCACACTTGTGCTCTTTCACTCTCTCTCTCTCTCTCAAATAAAATTAAAAATTAAGAACTAAAAATAAAATAAAAAGATCTTGAAACCTGCTTTCTGTCTAACCCCATTTAACCAACCAGGAAACAAGGGCCACAGAAGGGAAGCAATTGACCAAGGTAGAAGCAGGACCTGAACCAGTGTCCTGACTTCTAACTCTAAACCCTCTCCCCACCACCCACAGCTTCCAACCCCAACGTTCATATAAACATCTGCTGTTTGATTTAAAAAAATTTTTTTAATGTTTATTTATTTTTGAGAGAGACAGACTGGGAATGGGGGAGGGGCAGAGAGAGAGGGAGACAGAGGATCCGAAGCAGGCTCCAGGCTCCAAGCTGTCAGCACAGAGCCCGACATGGGGCTCGAACCCACGAACCATGAGATCATGACCTGAGCCAAAGTCTGGCACCCAACCGACTGAACCACCCACGCACCCCTACTGGTTGATTTTAGAGATCTCAACTCAGAAATAAATGTAAGGACAAGAAAAGTGAAACAAAAGATTAAAAACCAGATCAACAAGTGCAGGGTCAAGGAGGAGGAAGGCCTTGGTGAAGACACAAATTGCTGTCAGGGGTTAAACTCAGCTCTGGGTCTTTCCTGACCTCAGCTGTGCCCTGTCAGCTGGGCACCTCTGAGAAAGCATATTCCCAATCCCCTGGCTTGTCCTGGGGCACAACCCTGAACCTGGATTTTAACAAATATTCCAGATGGTTTAATTGCCAGGGCAGGTTTTACTCCACTGCGTGGCTTCACACATCAGGCCCAGAATGCCAGCGCACAGTGGCAGCAAAGTCCTGGACACGGGCCCCGGATGCCTTCTCCCCACTGAAGCTTACTCTGAAGAGCACGACAGGACTGCCCGCCTGCTGGGTGGTGACTCAGGCATGTGGGGAGCTAAACAGGGCCATTTCTGGCCTGAGGAAGGTGCCCCCAAGGAGCAGCAGCTGCCGTTCTGGAAGCTTAGCCCAACAGAGGTGGGGCTTCTGGCTGCAGGAAAGATGGAACTTGAAGTGGAGCCAGAGGCAAGAGCTGGCCCAAATAGGTCCTGAGAGGTGGCTGTAAAGCCTAGGAGAAAGGAAAGGTCAAGGTTCTAGGCAGCAGGGGCCGTCCTAAGCAATGAAGCCTCAACGTATGAAGGAGGCCGTGCTAAATTGGCAAGAACTCTTTGGCCACAGAGCCTCATGGAAAGGTTTGTGTTCTCATAACCAGCTGGAGCCCCAGAGCATCTGAAAATATGTTACTCTTACTCATTTGCAAAAGTGGGTCTCAACCAGAGGTGGTTTTGCCCCCACCTCCCCCCAGAAAATTTGACACTATCTGGAGACATTCTGTTTGCCACACCAGTGGGTGGAGGCCAGGGAAGCTGCTGGACACCCTGTAAAACCCGGGACATCCCCCACCACAAAGAACTACCCAGCCCAAAAGCTCAATAGAGATGGGGTGGAGAAACCCTGCTCTGCGTGGCATCACTACAGGAATCCATCCTTTGGGGAAATCCATATCTGAGATGTCCATGATATGCCCTGGTTTCTCTCCACCCACAGATGGGCACACACATGAGGCCCCCCCACCCACTCCGGAGGGCAGGTAGGCCTGGAACCAGGCACCAAGCATGCAAGCGTATGCCCACCACTATGTATCACAGCAAATTGTATTAAAAGAGAAGATAAACAGCAACATGTTTTGTAATAGGCAACAACAGGCATTAAAGTCCGCTGGCTTCACACCCCTGTGTCCCCACTGCACCCACACCCTGTACTGTCACTGCCCACAGTGATGGTTCTGCACTGTCACAGGCATGGAACAAGCACCTTTACCACCATTACCTCCCACGCCAGACACCAGGACTCCACTCATTCGATTTCCAGCAGGCAAATCTGATGTCTTTTGCAAACCAAGTGCCTCAAAGCAGGGTTGGGCTGGGGGATTGGGGAGGGGGGGGGGCGTTGCTTCCCTCAGAGGAGCCAATTCACTTTCTTTCTGAGCTACTCACTTTGCAGAGAGGGCAGCTGTGCTCTCTCACCCTGATCCTGGTACATCTCATACCTCTCAGTAAGTGTGGGCATCTGTGTCCCCAACGCACTGCTCCAACCTGCTCAGAACAAGCACCCCACTTTCTCCCAACTCATCTCATTTATTCAGTTCACTGAGGCGCTCCAGAGCATCTCCCCTAACATGTCAGGGGACATGGGTCCCCTACATCTCTCAAAGTGTCCTTTAAACGGCATGGCAGGAACAGACAGGTGAAAGCTCAGAATCTTCACTCTCTCCGAGCAAGGCACTGCCAGCTTTCTTTCCTCACTTGAAACAACCCTATTTGTTATTTTGAGCCATGACTGGGATGACACTTATGACATATAGCAAAGCAGGAATTATCTTTGGGAGCAGAAAGACGAAGACATACTGTGAGTCTGATAAGATAAAAGCGGCCACAGATAAAAGCATTTATAAAGGAAATGATGGCTATCTGCCAAACAGGAGCAAGGAAACTCACCCACCAAACACAAAGAAATGAAAAGAAGTCAAGCCAAATTCTGTAACGGGCTGCATGCTAGCATCCTTCCCTGCAAGACAACTCAGCAATAGGAGAGAACATGGAAGGGGATGTTGGGTGATGGGGTCTGGGGACACTGTGTGACCTTGGACAGCAGCTTCCTGTGGAGAGAAAGGAAGGGAAGTCACTGGTGTACCTCTCAGCGTCATGGTGATGTTTAAGCGAGAGGATGCAGGTCACAACACTGGGCGTGCTGGGAAGCATCAGATATGTAAGGCATGAGTTCTCAGACAGTCACATACGGAAGTTGCTTAGGAGAGCTGCTAAAAATACAGATTCTGGGCCCAAACTCCAGAGATGCTGATTTAGGAGGTTTGGGCTGGGGCCCAGGAATCTGGATTTTGGACAAGTGCTACAGATGATTCTGAAACAGGAAGCCTCTAACAACCCTATGAGGTAGATACTGTTACGATCTCCATTTTACATGTGAGGAAACTGAGGCAAAGCTAGTTTGTGGTAGAGCCAGCTCCCAAGAGATCTTGGACTCCAGAAATGAGAAAAGAGGTTGTCCAGATCTGGGCTGGGACTCCCGTCCCTGCCCCCTCCTCTAAAGCAGCCAACAGAGTGGCAGCCCATTCCCAGAAAGATCAGAAATGCTCTTTCTCTGAATCTTTTGAGCTTCAAGCAAGCAAATATGCCTAAGACAGGTGTAAGCAGACACTCATGAATGATAGAGACAAAGGAAGAGGGAAGGAGGGAACGGCCACATTAAAAATTATAACCTACATCAAGTTTGTGCTTCTCTGGATCACTCTGAATATTCACTGGGATAAAATATGCTCTAAAATATGTCAATGCCAAGGTGATTAAAACGCCATTCTGTACCCATCAGTGTACAGAGAGGAGAGGGAACAGCAACCAGGATGTCAAGTTTTCAGAAAACAATACAAAATGAATAAGTAGAGTTACAAAACCCAGAATCATCAAATATTAGAGTTGCATGTACCTCTGGGAGTTATCTTGATTCTCCCCTTTATTTGACTGATGAGAAAACTGAGATTTGGTGAGGGCAGGTGCTGTGGCTGGGCGTCAGAGGGCAGCCCCAAAGCCGGGGTTCTGACCCCTACTCTGGTTCTCATTTTGCTCCATATGCTGCCCTTGTGAAACTTGAAAGGAACCGAAGTCCTTAATGTAGCACTCCTTCCAAACTCCTTGAATGGCTCCAAAGCCAGGGCTGGTGCGGCAGCACCGGAAGGACCGAAGGGAGGTGAGAAGAGGCAGCCAGCCACAGACTCAGTAAATAAGAGTCTCGGACATAATCACTGTGCAGAGAAGTCCCAGCTCTCCAGCTCCCTCAGAGAGTCAGAAACAGAGAGGACAAGTGACTGAATGGAAGGGACCCTGAAGAAGGCTCCCTAGGATGGGTCAGGGGGTGTGGGCATGTCAGCTCGCCTCTCACTGCCTTCCTGCCTTGGGTACCCAGGGACGCTACCAGAAAATAACTTCTCTGAGGCACAAGCTGCAATGGCCAGAAGTAGAGGTGGAATTTCAGGCAGGATTCAGTTGTGATTTTTCCTCCAGCTCAAAACCTTCACAGGGGCCCTTGGCCAAGCATCCCAGATCCACCATGGTCTGCCTGTACCTTGCCCACAAATTTTATTTTCTAACACTGCCCTGATGTCAGCACCCATCCTATACTTTGGATTATTCTGCCCAACCGATAGATACCCTGGGAAAAGTGCCAGTGACAGCTCGAGAGGCCAGCCCAGACATAGTCCTTGGCAGTGGAGGAGGAAGAATTTCCAGGCTATAGGGAGCAGTCCTGCGGGGGAAGACAGGCCTGAGCAAGGAAGCATACACCAGGACTTCCAAATCCCATCAGCAGGCTCACCTCTACACATGACATCACCATGATAGTGACATCAACAATGGAGAGGCATGGCCCAGCCCCCAGCTCTGAGCTGGGTCCTCTAGTGACCAGAGTAGTCAAAGCCAGCTGGAGAGCAAGCATTGCCCTGAGCTGTGGCAAGAGCAGGGTCTGGCCATAGAGGACAAGATGGAAGGACCAGAATTTCTGGTTTCCTTTCCACAAAGAGATTGGAACCAAGATTACTATCATAGAATGAGTAAACCCTGAGGCTTATCACAAGAATGAGGGATGCTGGGAGCAAAAACAGACATAATCTCAATAGTGGAAGGTAAGAGAAATGTGAGCTTATCTTCTACTCAAACCGGTAATGCAGCCGTGACCCTGCCATTGAAGTTATAGCCACCCACTGGTTCTGGCTTTCACTTTGCTTAAACCAACTTGCAATAAACTGGAGATCATCAAGGTATTTACCAGGAAAATCATCCACTGGGTAACCTACTATGCATCGGGCTTACAAAATTGTCTTTATTTCCTGAACAGAACAGGATGTGTGAAGATACCAAAAAGAATGATCGCCCTGCCATTTCCAGTAAGTCCTGCAGAGCCTTTCAAAGTTCCTCGTTTTTTCCTATTTGTCTTGGTAATGAATTCTCTGAGTCTTTGACCTGGCAGTTCAGCTATCTTTCCTCATCTCTGATAAAAGCCTAACTGTGGGGAAAGATAATATTTTCTTAATCAAGTGAGTATCAGTGAGATCTATGCAGCAGCTTCTAACATTTTTTAAATGACTTGACTCTTCAGAAGCTTCTCTTAGGAGAAAGCCTTTGGGTATGATATGAATGTGAAGGAATATTCTAGATTTATTCAACTCATAATCGTTTTTAAACTTTTAGGGTTGGCTGCAGGAACTGTGGAACTTTCTAGCTTTTTCCACTCAGACAATGGAAAGGAGAGATGTGAGCAATTATTTAGAAGATTTGAAAGATTCAACTGCTAATCAGGATCTTCAGGCATAAATGCTTAGGGTTTTGAAAGACCTAGGCTAGAATGTTTTCTGAGTAGCTTTACCTCCCTCTGCTACAGTTTCCAAGCCTATGAAAAAGAGTTTATTATAGTACCTCCCTCATAGAGAGATAGGAAGATTATATAAAATAATGACTGTAAAACATTTAACACAGTTTGGCTCAGTAAATGTTTGGTTTTATTGCCAAAGGATTACAGTGCCCCCCTCACAGCCCCCTTAGCTGTATTTTGCTCTCCTCAGTTTTAGTTACCCTTGGTCAACCTTTCCCTGGAAGCAGACGATTCTCCTAAAATATTGTTATAAGGTCAGTAGTAGCCTAATGCTACGTGGCAATGCCTATGTCATTTACCTCACTTTGCATCATCATGTAGGCATTTTATCATCTCATATCATCACTAGAAGGATGAGTGCGCTATAATAAGATATTTTGAGAGAAAGACACCACATTCACATAACTTCTATTACGTATATTATAATTGTTCTATTTTATTATTACTGTTAGTTTCTTACTGTGCCTAATTTATAAGTTAAACTTTATCATAGGTATGTACATATAGGGGGAGACATCGTGTATATGGGGTTCAGTACTATCTGTAGTTTCAGACATCCACTGGGGATCTTGGAACATACCCCCCCGTGCATAAGGGGGGACCTCTGTAATTTCCATATCCAGTTGATTTTGCCTTTGTGGACACGGCCTATACACATTCTGAACGTCACAGGGACTGTTCTAACAGTGAACAAATAGTCTCTCTAAGTAAAATGTAGTTAATGCAATCTGTTTGACTTTACTACTTGGAAAAAAATTGGCGAAAGCTTTACCATATTTGTTTCCTAGGGCTGGTACCACAATGCACCGCAAAGTGGGTGGCTTAAAACACACACACACACACACACACACACACACACACACACACACACAACAAAACAGAAACTCATTCTCTCATAACAATAAGGTCCAGAAGTCCAAAATCAAGGTATCATCAGCAGGGTAGATTCCTTGTGGAGGTTCCGAGAGACAATGGATTCCAAATGTCTCCCTGCTTCTGGCAGCTTCAGGCAATCCTGGCATTCCTTGGCCTGTGTCTGTCTTCCAGTCTCTGCTGCCATCTTTATATGGCTTTTCTCTCTCTGCTTCAAATTTCCCTCTTCTTTTTCTTACAAGGACACCAGTCACTAGATTTTCCTAAACCTAGTATGATCTCAGCTTAAGATCTTTAACTTAATATATCTGCCAAGACCCCATGTCCAAATAAGTTCACATTCATAGGGAGTGAGGGTTAGGATTCAGGCATATCTTTTGGGGAGACACTATTCAACCCACTACAATTTTAAGTTCTTCAAACAAAAGCTTTTCCACTACCTTGTTGCAGGAATGAAATGACTTCAGAGCAAGTATTGCCCATTTTCTATACATCTTTGGAAACTCACACAAAACATTTAAGACATGTGGATTACATGGGAAGTTTAAGTTTCTTTTAAACCTGGAGTCATGTTAAGTCTTTTTTTTGTTTGTTAAGTCTTTTTAAAAAATTTTTTTTTATTTTTTATTTTAGAGAAGGAGAGTACACCGGCGGGGGGAGAGGGGCAGAGGGAGAGAGAGAGAGAATCATAAGCACGATCCATGCTCAGCTCGGAACTTGATGCAGGGCTTGATTCCATGACCCCGGGATCATGATCTGAGCTGAAATCAAGAGTCAGATGCTCAACTGACTGAGCCACCCAGTGGCTCAAAAACAGTTAGCTCTGGAAGTGTCAGCTAACTGAGCTCAGAGCTCAGGTGTGGCCTGAAGGTGAAGCCATCCACCCCGTTGTGTACCCTTAGGACTAGATAAATTGTCCTCGGGACAATACAACAGCGAACTGTACTCCTTACTTTATGATACACCTTCACCAGGAGTCTATTCAAAGCCTCTCTCTTTTTATTTTTTTCCCCCTTTGCTCATCCATTCAACAACTATTGAAAGCGTCTACAATGCTTTACCCCTACTGAGAATAAAACAGTTAAAGTGTTTGCTCTTACAGAGCTTATTCTAATCATGGAAATAGATAAACAAGTAAACAATAGATAGTATCAACAGGTGAATGAGTGTTATGAAGAGAAACTAAGGCAGAGTAAGAAAATGAGAAGCAGAAGGGTAACAGGATCTGACTAACATTTTAAAAAAGATACTCCACGGGGCGCCTGGGTGGCTCAGCCAGTTAAGCATCCAACTGCCGCTCAGGTCATGATCTCACAGTTTGTGAGTTTGAGCCCCGTGTCAGGCTCTGTGCTGACAGGTCAGAGCCTGAAGCCTGCTTCAGATTATGTGTCCCCTCTCTCTCTACCCCTCCCCTGCTCATGCTCTGTGTCTCTGTGTCTCTCTGTCTCTCAATAATAAACGTTAAAAAAATTAAAAAATAGATAAGTAAATAAAAATAAATAAAAAAGATACTCTGGCTGGTGTGTAGACAGTAAAGAAACAAGGAAGTAAGCCAAGGGACCCAGGAGGAGTCCTGGTGGCTTCAGTGAGGCTGGCTGGGAGCCACAGACGTAGCAGAAGTGGGTCCATTCCAGATACTTTGACAGTTGAATCAACATTATTTTCTAGGGACTGGGTGAGAGGTGTGAAAGAAAAACAGTAAAGGCCCTTATCATGGGCTGAAAAATGACTTCCCAGAAGATATCCACTTCCCAATCCTTAAAACCGGTGAATGTCACCTTACATGGCAAAAGGAGGGTAGTCTTTGCAGACAAGATTGAGGAGTTTAAAGCTTATTTGCTCAGATAGAGGGGGATGGAGAGAACCCCAAGCAGGCTCCATGCTGTCAGCACAGACTCAGACGCGGGGCTAGATCTCACAAACTGGGATATTATGACGTGAGCTGAGATCAAGAGTTGGGCGTTCAACCAACTGAACCACCCAGACACCCAGAGACTGAGGAGTTTAAAATAGGGAGATTATATCCTGCAACATGTGGTTGGGCCTTAAATGTGATCACACATACCGTTATGAGAGGGCAGCGGAGGGAGACCTGATGCACAGAGAAGGTGCTGTGACGATGAGGAGACCTGGAGATGCTGGCCTTCAAGACTGGAATGATGTGGCCACCAGCCAAGGAGTGCCAGCACCCACCAGACACTGGAGGGGGCTGAGTGGATTCTCCTCTAGAGTCTCCAGAGCAGCCAGCACCTTGCCTTCAGCATGGTCATACTGACTTTGGACTCCTGGCCTCCAGAATGGTCAGAGAATACCTGTGTGTTGCCCTAAGCTGCCCAGTTTGTGAGAACTGGTCACAGTAGCCTCAGGAAACTAGTACGAACCCCCACTCCAATTCCCTTCCCCATACTAGACGTCTGCTCTTACGTGCTTAATACGTGGCCTGATACAAGCATGTATACTTGAAAAACACGGATCGTTGTTTTGAAGACTGTAGGTGTTTTTGAACAATATTTATGGTCTAGATCTTACTCTTCTGTATTCAACTCTGTATATGTAAGGTCTTTCCAAACTCTTGGGTGTATGCACACCTGGCTGGGTGTGTGCATCTGCCACAGAACATTCTGTATGTCTCCACCGGATACCCCTTTTCCATTCTGGTACAGAGGGACATCTACATTGCTCCCAGCTCACCAGTCACACTATGACAGTTTAAAAATTTGCTCATCAAGAGGCAGATACTCGCTGATGTGATCTTTCAGGACCAGGGGAAAAGAACGGATACTGTAGTTGGACTCAAACTACAAGAGGATAAACTGTCAGCTCTGCATTTGAGTGACAAGTATGATTCTTGAGTTCCCTTGGCCCAACCTTTCCTCTCGGGTCCTACTGCCCTGGCCTTCCCCCTCCCCAAGAGATCTCCGGAAATTGAAAGGCTGAACAATTCCAGCTGCCTTGCTTGACAAATTGAAATGGGAGTTGGCGGCCGTTTTCCCTCCAGCATCCTCTGGGAAATCCACCCAACTACGTGTTCCCAGCCTGCCCCTGCTTTCAGCACTGTAAGGTTCAATACCAAGCGGCAAGTGCCACGTACAGGACATAAGTGTGGAGAAGCAGTACAAGGCCTGGCAGGGGCAGAAACAGCCCCTGGGAGGAAAAGAAGCCATGGCTATTTAGCTAGAAGAAATGTGGATGGGATGAGTTCAGCTGGCTCCAAGTGTATAAACAACGACGCTAAACAATTGTGCTTCTACTGAGTTGAGGAACAGACACAGTGGACCTGAGGTGATAAGAAACACGTGGGTTAGACATTAAGAAGGCCTTTTTAACAAGTGACGTTAGAGGCAACAATCACACAGCTTCAAAGCTGGAAGATGTAGACTCGAATGAGCTTCTGTCAGAGCAAACACTTTGTCTGGAAGGGACCCTACCAATCTATTTTAGCTCTGTCATCAGTTTGCTTTAGAAGCTGAGCTAAGCCCCTTTGCTTCGGTCTCCTCATCTGTCAAGAGAAGGGTCCAAAAGATGTGGCTGAGCAAAATTAACTCAAAATGCACCACAGAATTAAATGTAAGTGCTAAAATCACAAAACTCCAAGAAGAAAACATAGATGGAAATCTTATTATCTTGAATTAGACAAAGACTTCTCACATATGACACCAAAAGCATGATGCATAAAAGAAAGCAATTGATATACGGACTTCTCAAAAAAAAAAAAATTGTTCTTCCAAAGATACTATTAAGAAAACTAAAATATAAGCCAAAGACTGAGAGAAAATATTTGCAATTTAGATATTTAGCAATTGCCTAAGAATGATGATCCAGGAGGTGGTGGATTTGTGAAACTTTACACAGAATCGAGTGGCCTGGATTAACAGCTAACTATGTAAAGTAGGTGGCTTTGTCTCTTTTCTGTTAAATGTCCTCCCCTCTAGATAAGCATTTCTGGCCACCACATTTTATCCTGCCTGTTACCCCTTGTCCTCAAGTAGATAAGAGTTAGACAGACTTGTGTTCAAATGGGCAAGTGCCTTCGACTCTGAAGAGACGGGTCCTTCCTCTGTAAAGTGGGGGTAATCAAACCAAGCTCATAATGCCAACGGGCAGCCTGAGCCACACAGAGGAGCTGTCTGCTGTTAGCTTCTCTCTCCTATCTCCATCCCCAAACCTGCTTCCAGGAAAAGAAGGTGCTATTAGTCACTAGCACATCACTGAAGAATACACTGTATTTAATCCTTTTTTTTTCATTGGGAATTATCCTTTTCAGAGTGGAAGAAAGACTTTTTCTGCACTGAGGGGAAAAACAGCCTCATCCAGCCTGAAGCCCTTCCTAAACTCTGGAAATCTCACTCTCTCGTCTCCTTGCTTGGTTTCCTTTTCAAGGACTCTGGGAAGAAGTCAGTTTTTGACATCTGAAAACCATGCACTTCCCCATCTTGAAGTGCTGTGCTGTCACATGGTCCCAAGGAATGTAGGGCCTTTCAGATTACATCAGCAGACACACCCAGTATGCCAAGGACACAGCTACAGTTACCTGAATGCTGAGTGCTTGCTAAGTCCTTACTCAGAACACTGGTGTAGAGCAGAGCTGGGACTGGGGTGCAGTGAGGAGGAGTGTAGGGTGTAACATTTAAGGAGGCACTCACATCCAGGTGTCCGCTCCGGAATTGCATGACCCTGACGAGTGCCTCCTTAAGAGTGGGCTCCTTAGGGCACAATCTTTCCAACGCCAGCATTCTCAGGATGTAAAGGATGCCCCAGAGAGTAGATTCCTTCAGTGTTGCACCTTAGGCACCTCACTTCCTTCATTCAGCAGCAGCCCTACTGGAGAGGGTATGGACCCACGTCCACATGCTGAAGTCACAGCACCAGTGAGCCATGGGACCCTAGGCAGGTCTACATCTCCATTTTCCTGACTGTTTTCAATCTATGATTCTAGAGTTACTTGGCTTCTCTCTGCAATAAAGCAAAAACAATTATGAAGGTCTGCATTACCTTGGTCTAATAGATGCCGGCTTAGATTTCCTATCTTCACAGAAGCATTCCCTGACCCCGTAGGCTACTCTCTGTCATGTTATATTAGCAACTTGTTAATTTTATTCACAGCAGTTATCACAACTGATATTTTATTTTATTGTTTTGCATGAGACAGGATAGTCTAGATTACATTTCAGTAATAAAACGACCCACACCTCAAGAGTTTACAACAGTTTATTGCTTTCTCACTCCACATTATGTTAGGGGGCAGCTGGGAGGCTCAGCTCAGGCCCGGCTGATGAGGCAGCCACCATATGGACACTTCACTGGTCATTGTGTCAGAGGGCAGAGAGCTCCAGGGAGCATCACATTAACTGCTTAGCCCAGAAAGGACACGCAATCACTTCTAGTCACAACCCATTGGCCAGAACTAGTCAATGTCCCCACCCACTCACAAGGGACCCTACCACTGCACTTGTGCCCCAAAGGCAGAAAGCCACAAAGGTTTGATGAGCAGCTCTAATGACTCCTGCATTATTTATTTGATTTTGTCTCAATCCTCTGACCAGAATAGTCCATGAGGGCAGGATGGTCTGTCTTGTTCATTCATTTTATCCCCGGTTGCTGGTATCTTGTTGGTGCTTAATAACCATCCATTGACTAACTTAATGTCTCTGGTAGTTTAGGATTGGTGACCAAGACTGTCAGGTGTCAGCCCACGCAAACTGCTTGGAATCTGGAGGACCATGTTAACTACACCCTCCTGAAAGGGGAAAGGTAGTCTAACTGCTGCTTTCATTAATTTTCTCCTTGAGTGTCTAACTGGCCAATGAATAAGAATTTCTGGGAATCTGAAAGCATAGTCTAAAGTGGGTAAGCTATAATTTGGGATCTCTTCGTAATTTTATTCTTCATCTTCAAAGCCCATGTGAATTTTATATTTTGCTCCATGGTCATAAAAAATGTTTTAAAACATTTCCCGGGGGAAAATGAGTGCTTTGCAAACATGTGTCAAGCTTATTTCATGGTTTCAAGGCCCCACTAACAGCTCGCCCACCCCTGAATTCCCAGGTTGGTATGCCCCAAGCCAGAGAACACAGCTCTAAGCCTCCTTAGGTGGCTGCTGGTGTCTTAAGGCTTAAGTTTAAAACATTAAGAACATCCTGGAGGCGCCTGGGTGGCTCAGTCAGTTAAGCGTCCAGCTTCAACTCAGGTCCCGATCTCGCGGTCCGTGAGTTTGGACCCCGCGTCGGGCTCTGGGCTGATGGCTCAGAGCCTGGAGACTGCTTCCATTCTGTGTCTCCCTCTCTCTCTGCCCCTCCCCCGTTCATGCTCTGTCTCAAAAATAAATAAACTTAAAAAAAAAAAAAAGCTGCTGAGGATTCAACTCAGTTAAATAGAGGCCTCATTTTCTTTCCCACAGGTTGATGGACATAATTGTTCTAAAACTAGTGTTTTTTCAAACTCTTTCTTGTTTGTTTTTACCCTGAAGCACACTTAGAAATACATTTTATAAAACTTCCCGGAATGGACACTGTTGGTAACCCCACGCAGGCTGGTGTACCCATTCCCCAGCTGTCAAGACCATTGCCGCCTCCTCTGGAGAATTAATCTGAGCTGAGCAGGAGCTGCCTTTCTGGAGGTTATGTACCTCTGTTCCTCAGAGCGGACAATAGCCAGTGTTGACAGGATTCACAAGGCACTACCTGCTTGTCTCAGGCGTCACCAGCTCTGGTACAATTCAAACCATGGGATTAGGCGTGAGTACACCCTTGCTCAGCTGGTCCCCTGCCCGCTCCAGTTCCCTCCTCATTTTTCTGTCCTAAAGACAGCACAGACACCCATATTCTTTTCTTGAGCTCTGCTTCCAAGGAATCTGAGTTAAGACAATAGCCAACACATACACACACACACACACACACACACACACACCCTTGAAATAAAATTGCAACATTTACCCTTCATGTGACATGCTCTGATACTTGCAGTATTGTTCTGTTTGATTTTTTTAATTGCTCATTTGTGATCTTTTAATTTGATTTCATAACCCACTAATAGGTCACAGCCCTGCAGTTTGAAAAACACAGCACTAAAACTTTCCAAGTTAACCTTCCAAGTTGACCTTCCAGAGGCTGATGTTTAGTACCTGGGCAGGTTAAAGAGAAGGTGAAGCGAAGGGCATCTGCTCCAATATGCACGGCATTGAGAGTTTAAAGACTCAAGAAGTTGATTCTAATAGGACTGAGCATCTCAAGGGAGCACCACGCGTTCCTTCCAGCCACTGACCTGCTCCACACTCCCCAGGCTGGTTTTCCTTCCTGGCAGGAATGCACATTGATAGGAAATGTGGGTTCCAAGGAAACAAAGCAGATTTTGACCTCCACAAATGCACAGAGATGGACATGTGAGAACATTTATTCCGGCATTGTCTGTGATGGCCAAGATGAAAACATTACAAATAGCCATCCCTAAGTGAACTGCAGTACAATGTATCCAGTAATAATAATGTGGGTATCTAACTACAGAAAGATTTCCATGACAAACTAAGTGCAAAACTCAACAGCCCTTCAGTTCACCAATAAAATTCCATTTTTTATTTTTTAAAAATTAGTATGTGTATAAATGCATAAAATATGGAAAACTATACTCAAAACTATCTTCAGGGAAATGATTATTGGAGACTTATTTTCTAAATCATATATTTCCACAGCATTGGAACTTTTCCCCAAGAGTACAATTTACTTTTGAAATAGGAAAAAGCAATAATTTTTTGCTTTAAAACAGTAAAACACAAAAGGAAGCTATTTATAAGGTGGCAGCGTGTGTTCCTTTGAAGTCACAATAGCGGCCCTCCAGCAGGTGATGTGTGCTTTCAACAGTCTGAGATAGAAACCATTTCTAGAAGTTTGTGCTCTGAGGCAACATCTCAACATACAGAACATACAGAAATGATGAAATACAAGTCAAGAAAATGTATAAACCACAGGAAGTCTCGGAAACTAGATAAATGTCCCTATACCCTAGAAACAGAAGAGAAACCCCTCATCAGGGAAGAAGACTGAGGCCAGGGCGCCCAGGCCCAGGTTCTGGGAGCAGATATAGGTGGCTGAGTTTGGCTCCCACAAAGTCCAGGAAACTAAAAAAAGGTAGGAAGAGGACAGAGTAACCTCAACTACTGGACATGGGGACTGGAGGCCAGCTCCCCAGCTGGTGAAGAAAGCCTGGAAAAAGCTGTCTGTCTGGGGGTGTTTATTCATTCCCACTTTTTAAATCAGGTTTTTACTCTGGCTACATTTTAAAATCACCTGGGGACTTAAAAAAAAATACACACACACACACACACACACACACACACACACACACACACACACTGTTGCCCTGGAAATTCTGACTTAATTTTTAAATTCTTTCTTTCTCTTCTTTTTTGAATTAGTTTTGGTGTTTATTTTTGAGAGAGAGAGACACACACAGCATGAACGAGGGAGGGACAGAAAGAGAGGGAGACACAGAATCTGAAGCAGGCTCCAGGCTCTGAGCTGTCAGCACAGAGCCAGATGCAGGGCTCAAACTCGTGAATGGTGAGATCATGACCTGAGCCAAAGTTGGACGCTCAACCAACTGAGCCACCCAGGTGCCCCTCTCTTCCTTTTTTTTAAACGCTTTTTTTTAGAAATTCTAATACATGTCCTAGATTGACACCTCATTGAACCTTTGGGCTTAGGTAGGGCTCAAAGTATCAGACACGACCTCTGTCCAGGTACTCAGTCAAGGAAGCAGCCAGCTTAGAGATGAGATCTGGGATTTTCCCATTCTGACCTCAGAGCAGACATTTCTGATCATCTGAGGCTTGCTTTGGGACTGGCGGCCCTTGGCAGGAGGCCTAACACAGCTGGTCAGGGTGGGATAAAGAGACAGAGAGACAGACACACAGGAAAGAAATGTCTATTCATAGGTAAATGGATGAATCTATGATCTACGTGATATATTCATAGAATAGAATATAACAGTGAAATTTAACAACCCAGCATTAATATGACATAAACAGAGCAGTGAGTTATAAAAGCAACTTGCAGCATGGCAAGTACATTACAACATCATTTATTTAAATTTTAAGTTATAGGGGGGCGCCTGGGTGGCGCAGTCGGTTAAGCGTCCGACTTCAGCCAGGTCACGATCTCGCGGTCCGTGAGTTCGAGCCCCGCGTCGGGCTCTGGGCTGATGGCTCAGAGCCTGGAGCCTGTTTCTGATTCTGTGTCTCCCTCTCTCTCTGCCCCTCCCCCGTTCATGCTCTGTCTCTCTCTGTCCCAAAAATAAATAAACGTTGAAAAAAAAATTTTAAATTTTAAGTTATAGGAAACAGGGAGTATATATTTTGCGGTTAAATCTGTATACACTATAACTATAAAAATATTCATAAGAATTAAATACTATTTAAGGGCCGTGGTTGCCTTTGGAGAGGATTTGAAGGGGCATACAGGGAACAATAGACACAAACTCAGATGAGCCTCAAAGGCATCATGCTGCATATACGAAGCCCATGTTTAGAGGTCACATCCCTGGGGTGTCTGGGTGGCTCAGGGGGTTAAGCATCTGACTTCGATTCAAGTCATGCTCTTGTGGTCTGTGGTCCCTGTGTTTCAGCTCCATGGGTTCGGACCCTGACTCTGACAGCTCAGAGCCTGGAGCCTGCTTCAGATTCTGTGTGCCCCTCTCTCTCTGCCCCTCCCTTGCTCATGCTCTGTCTCTCTCTCACACAAAATAATAAGTAAACATTAAAAAGAATTTTTTTAAGAAGTCACATCCTTATAATTCCATTTATTATATTGGAGGAAAAAATGGTAGAGAACAGATTAGTGGTTGCCAGGGGCTAAGGGACACTGTGGTTATAGAAGGAGGTTTTGGGGGGGGGGGATGTGTCCTTACTATAACAGTATCGTCAATCTACAATGTACTAAAATATATGGGGATGGAATTCACAAAAATAGTAGAATGGTGGCTTCCAAGGGCTGGGGGAGGAGGGAATGGGAGTCATTGTTTAATGCGGAGGGAATTTCTGTTTGGGAAGATGAAGAAAGTTCGGGAGGTAGATGGTGGTGATGGTTGCAGGACAATGTAACTTCAAAATGGTTAGAATGGAAAACATTTGTTACGTATACTTTACTACAAAATTTTAATGAAAAAAATTAGTATGATTGTATACCAGAAGAAGGAAAAAAGCCATTTTATTGAATTTTATTACATGGCCATAAAAAAAAAAACTAAAAGAAAAAATCCAAAGCAAATATTGCAAAAAATGTTAAGATTTATTAAAGTGACATGATAAATACATTCGTGCCTGGTAACTGAATTTTCTTCACTTCTCTGCATGTATAAAATACCCTAATAAGTTTGTAATAGTTCCAGGTCGAATCAGATTTTTAGGGCTGCAGGAAGCTTTTGAGATCATTCTTCACATTCCTTCCCTGAACAGAGAAAAGAAACTGAGTTTTCACAGCTGAAACTCCTGACTGTTTTATCCATGCTGATTATTTGGAATTGAAGTTTCTAACTGATAACAGAATTAGGCTTCTGGAATTTTGAAGAGCTGAAGAAATTCAAAAACACACAAAGAGTGTGCTCAACTTCCCCTATTCCACAGGAAACAATCCCTACATTATCAGAACATCCAACTAAGGACTCTCAAGAACAGAATTAAAATGTAATCAGCAGCTTTCTTCAAAAGAATTGTTAAAATAATTTTAAAACAAAAAAAGTTGCAAAAAAAGTGTTGATTTTACACTGAGATACTCAAATTGATCTCATGAGGCATTTTAACTTGTTTCATCTTGTCTTTGCTTCTTCCTGTCTTTGTTCTCACCCCACTCTCCTCCTCTCTAAATACAACATCATACTGAATAGCTTCTGTGACCACCTCTCACCCACGTCTAGAGTCAGAGTGGCTCAAATTAGAACAGACTTTCTTTAGAAAGTAGTACTCTGCAAAATTCTTGGCCAAAAAACAATCTTCTGCCATTGCATGTGCAAGGTTCTTGGTTGCAAGCATTGGAACTGACTCAGGAAGCTAGGAAACCCAGGCCTGCACAGGGCAGGATGTGAGGGAGGAAGCCCAGTCAGGGACCCCTTGACCCCCAACAGGAAGATTGTGCCTGAGACACTGCCTTTGGTATCATTGCCACCAGCAAGATACTCCTCTCGCTGCAGCCATCATGAAGAATTTCTCAGGTGGTGGGATGTCTTCTATGAATCACTCCATCAAAACTGAAAGCTTCAGATGTGGGCATCCAGTTGGCTGAGCCTAGTCCCCAGCCTATTCTCTAGCTGCCAGCAGTTTCTTTAAAGGGAGTCCAGCTCTGCATTTCAACAACCCCCACACAGTGAAGGACTCTCCCGAATAGGGAGGGAATTCATACTGGTTAGCAAAATAAGCAAGATTTGTCTCTTCTCTTGGGTTTCCATAGCCTTCCCAGCATCCACAAGATGTGCTTCTTGCCTTTTTAAATCCCCCTCACTGTTCCCACTCCATGCTTCCACTAAAGCCTCCACCAGTCACCTTTGTACAACTAAAAACACATACCCCCTCCCGAGGGGAAGCACAGTTCTGGCATCTCTGACTCCTGCTCCTACTCTCACCCCCAGTCACTTCTCATCCGAGCTGCCAGCATTATCCCCTTAAAGCCTAAGGCACATCTTGTCACTGCTCCGCTCAAAGTCCTCCAATGGCTCCCCTGTCACTCTGAGAAAAAGCTAAATCTTCACAGTGGCTCCTGACTCTAAGTCATTACCTCCTCCCCACCCACCTGAGCCTCCTCTTCCTCCCTCTGCTCCAGCCACCCTGACCTCCTCCCTATTTCTGTCACTTCCCTAGCTTGTGTTCACCATGGAGGCTCTACTCTTCCTTCCACCAGATAGACACACAACTTGCTCCCTGTACAAATGTTATCTTCTCAGCTCCCTCTAAGTAAAATAGCACCCCATGGCTCTACTGTATCCTACCTGTATCCTACTTTACTTTTCTTGATATTATCATACCTGGCATCCCATGCAGTTATCTATTTGTTCATCATACATCTCCTTCCATTAGAACATAAACCTTATGAGTCAGGGATTTGTTTTTCCACCATGGCATCCCCAGAGCCTCGATCAGGGCCTGGTTGAGAGTAGGTGCTCACTAAACATGAATGGTTGCTGAAGTAGGAAGTGAAGTCTTCTGCTGAGAATAAAGGGCAGGGAGAGGAACAAGGGTGTCTTCCACTGAGGAGTGTAGATAAGGCCTGAGAAGGCTTCTTTGGTGAAGTGGAGAGAGCTGACCAGGAAATGAAGAGGTTTGTGCTAACAGTGATGGAGACATGGGTGTGGATGGGAACTATGTAATAGGAGCAAGGATCTGTGGTTGAG